ATATAGTGCCAGGCTGGAAATAATATGGCCTGGACTACAATTAATAATTTCATTAGGCTTTGGCTGTCTTTATTTAGTAAACTAGAGACACAGGAATGTTAGAGAATCATTGGTTTAAATATTGAGTGGAACATTTCATGAAAAAGTGTAAGTTTACAAAGAGTTTATGAAGAACATAATGGGAACTCAAACAAACATATTAGGAAACCAAGTTCAATGGCCAAATACAACTAGGCACATTCTTTGGATATGTCCTTAGCCAAAATCCTCTGTCTTAGCCAAATTCTCTATCTGATCATTCTTCATAACGAATCAAATTCCTCACTATTCGTCATCACACACTGGATACTGACCATTCTGTCTTCCTTTATTCTTTTATTTTTATTTCCCTTTCACAGTATCTATTGTATCTTTCAGATTTTATGTATTCTTTCATGTTCTTACAGCAGAAAGACGATGTCATAATCTTCCTAAACACCTAATTTTCCTAATGGTCTCTATTTATCACCCACTCCCTTCTTTGAAAACAAACTGTCGCCTTTCCTTCTTACATTTACAGTTGAACTTAGTCTCCTTTATATTGCAAAACTGTGTTGTAGTAGTCACTATGTCTATACAGATGGTCTTGAATCAAAGACTGCCTTACCATTTCAATATGTGTCAAAAATAGTGTTTGTCTCTAACAAGACACAAGGTTACCATTATGGTGAGTTTGACATAGAAAAAGGAGCATATTTTGAAAAGGGTTGAATGGCCAAATTAGAATAAAATGTGTGCAATGTAGGAATTCAAGATCTATAGTCACAGATATTTGAAGTATGAGTAAGTGGTGGTGCATAAGGTGATAGTGAATAATAAAGAATGTTGTAAAGAATAACAAATAATAGAGGGCTGGGAAGATAGCTCATTAGAATTAGTACTTGACTGGCAAGTGCAAGGGTCTGAGTTCAATTCCCGGTTCTGCAAAAAAATAATAAAATTAATAATAATAACAATAATGATTAAATCAGTTATGTTCTTAGTTCAATGAGGAATTTGGTAAATGCCAGAACAACTGTTTGGGGATGGCCAAATAGCTCAGTAGATTAAAGCACCTGCAAGCAAGCACAGGAGGTGGGTTCAATCCCTGGGCCTGCAGTGCGGCACCCGCCCCCCCCAGGGCATGCAGAGGCTGCAATTGAGACTGGGTGTGTTGGTACACACTTGTAATCCCAGCTCTTGGCAGGCTGTAAACAGGTGGATCACGATGAGTCTGACCTAGTAGTGAGACCCTGAACACCCTGTAGAACCTTCCCTAAAATACAAAAAAAAAAAAAAAAGAACAACTACATGGATTGTGGCTGTAGAATTTCTTGGTTGTAGCTCTAGGATTCAGGACTCACACACAGCTCAATAACTAAGACATATTATTTAAAATAGAGATAAGAGGGCTGGTGAGATGGCTCAGTGGTCTAAAGCACCTACTTAGAACAAGCTTAGCAAAGCACAGGGACTGTGGTTCAATCCCCCAGCACCACATGCCAGCCAGCCCTGACCCCTGGTGGGCTGAGCTGACCACACTCACACACACACACACACACACATAAATAAATAAAAATAAAAATAAAAATAAAAATAGAGATAAGAATGTTCCAGATTGTATATGTACACATATATGTATGCATGTATGTATGTATTTAGTACTGGAGATTTAAACTGGACTTTTACACTGAGCTACATCCCTTGATTTCTTTTCTTTTTTCTTTTTGTCATTTATTGAACACAGTCTTCTAAACTGCTTGGGTTAGCCTGGAACATGCAAACATCTTGCCCTTTAAACTGCTGGGATTATAAGCATGTGATAGCGTGGCTGTGTTAGACTCATGCCATATATATCATGTTTAGTGATATATATATCACTAAAACATATATTACACATATATTACTAATTTCTCTCTCTCTCCATATATATATACAGGTTTATCATCCTTGAATTTCTATTGCCAGCCTAAATAGGTTAAGGAAAGTGCTCATTCTCATTTTGTCATTTTAGATACATGACACAAAAATATTTGGCTTAACTGTATTCTTACTGTCTTAAACAATTTTGGTTAAATGTTATTTCAAAAAGAAAAATTTAATACCTCCAATACCCCTGAAAAGTCTCAAAAGCACTGTACTCCAGGTTTTTGCAGTGATTACTATGTTTTTTGTTTTTTTTTTTGTTTTGTTTTGTTTTTTTTGTTTTTGTGGCCGGCTTAGCCAACCATGGGGCAGGACTAGCACAGCATCTGGTGCCAGGGACAGAACAGCCAAACAGCCATTCTTGTGCTGCTTAAGTTTGCCTAAGCAGGCACTTTAGATTACTGAGCTATCTCATTGGTCCCTCACTATGGATTTTTTTTTTTACTCGTTTGGGCGTTTTGCTTTTGTTACTGACAAGCAGAATGTTTTTTCAATTCTACAAGAAATTTAAGATGTTTCTATATTCTAGAGTGTTGATAGTGTTAGAAAGGTTGAAATTCTATGATTTAGGCACTGCCATTTAAGTTTCACAATTTTAAATGAAATATATTTTCATTTTTAGTTCTTCAAGAACTACAAATTATTTTTTTATTTTATTTTTATTTTTATTTTCTAATGTATTCAGTATAAGGTCTACACAGTCTCACTACGTAGATCAGATACCTAGTGATTCTACTGTTTTTAGCCTCCCAAGTGCTGGGATTATAGGCACGTGCTGCCAGGCCTAGTCTCAATCACCTTCTCAGCATGTCCTGGGGGCAGAGTTGGCACAGCACACCAGGAATCGAACCCCAGCCTCTGTCTACTGCCTAAGCAGGCACTTTAGTTCGCTGAAATATCTGGCCAGCCCTTTCAAAAACTTATATATGCGAAAATAAATATTTCATATATATATATATATATATATCCAATCTTAAAATACTAAGAGTATTTCTAGTAATGTAATAAACAAAATAAATTATATTTTCTTTTAAACATGGTTTAATTTTTAACATCATAATTAATGTTTCTTTATAAGCATTAGATAATGTTAATATTGACTTTTCTTGCAGTTCTAGGGCTAGAAAGAGGGTTTCATTCATGTCAGGTACACATTCTAGCATTAAGCAATATCCTCAACCCAATATTTGATATTTAAAAAAAATGAAAATATGTAAATTATATGACTGCAAACATGATATGAATACAAAGAAAATTAGATAACAGTTGATAATAGATGTCTGCAATAAATTACTGCTCAATCAAAACTCTTATCTCTGCAAAGCTTAAGCAAAGTAGTTTTAATTATTTTAAATTGCATTTTGCAGGCAAAATGCTCTACAGTATAAGTCCCGGACTATCATTGCCATTAGAGGTTATCATAGCAAATATTGTTGAGGAAATTCTCCAGTTTTATCTCTCCTTTTTTCTAACAAAATTGAAATTAAGCAAAGAAAAAAACCAAAGAAATCATATTTCATGATTTTAAACCAAAATTTTGAAGAGGAACTGTTCATTTCCTAAAATGAGGCATCCACACTTTGAGAATAGAGCCTGAATTTTTCTGTTTCTAACTAAATCCTTACCAATCATCATTCAAACCGTCATGGGACCACACAATTACTTTCTAAAACATGAAGTTCCTAAGATCACCAGAGCATATTTTTTGAGCATCACATGTGGATAATTTTTGTACTCAAAGAAGATATCTTTCTTCTTCTTCAAATGAATATGGCAAGGAAAATATAATACAGGATAAGAAAAAAAATGTGAACTGTGTCAAAATGGTAAATTATCTTGTATACAGCATAATTTTTTTCTTTATCATTCCAGGAATTAAACTCAGAACCCTGTACTTACAAGGGAGGTGTGCTATCCTGAGTTATTTTTCCAGCCTAGAATAAATAATTTTTTTAAAAAACAGAAATGAGAAAAGTTGAGTCATCATTTTGTTTTCATGTGGTTATTATTATTAAGCAAAAATTACTCCTTTCACCTCTTTGCCTAGAAGGCATGGCTTATTCTATTTAAAGTACGTTATATGACATAAGCATTTTTTTCTTAATTTCAGGTTGGATAAGATACATCTAAGATAACTTTTAAGTATATAACTATATGTATTTTGCCACCAAATATATCCTTACCTCCCTTAGCACAGAGTCATATAGAGTACAGTAAAATGGCACCACTTTCTTGGGGAGAAATGTAGGGAGCATTTCATACAGGTAGACACACAGCATGAGCATTAGGATTGGATTTGGATCACAGATATCAATGGCCTAGATTAAAAAAGAGAAATACAAATTAGAAAATAAGCAGATATAACATATAAGGAGAAAAAAATCACAATATGTGAATTATTGAATTATCTTAAAACATTCCTTATTTCTTGATGTTTAGTGATATTGAAATAGATAAAGGAAAAAAATTCTAAATGATATGAACTTGAACTACATGTCAAAAATGAATTAGAAAAATGGATTAAAGATTTACACACTAAATCTCCTGGAAAAGAAAGTGGGAGGAGGGGCTGATGAGATGGCTCAGTGGTCTAAAGCACCTACTTAGAACAAGCTTAGCAAAGCACAGAACCGCGGTTCAATCCCCCAGCACCACATGCCAGCCAACCCCGCCCCCTGGTGGGCTGAGCTGGCCACACACACACACACACACACACACACACACACACA